AGTGCTTACTTAGGTCATGTGCTGTTTGATGATGGACGAGTGAGTGGACCGAGTAGGCCGGTGGTGTCACACCATAGTGCTGTTTGAAAGCATATATTATAATCTGAGAAGGTGAGATGTAGACCTCTGGGGTTGGGCCGACCATATCGAGGCAGAGAGAGGCTTTGAAAGCCCAGCCAGACATGCATTGCCGAAGCACGAGTTGTATGATCGCATTGTGAGCCTCTCGCCAGAGACGAGGAGCATGCAGGCACGAACACCTCTGCGAGAGGCCGGCAGCCACGATCTGCGGGCTAGTGCTCTTTTGGCCACCGCGCGACGTGTACCGGGCACCGGCCTAAACGTTTCGCTCGTTGCCTCCCATGCGACAGTCCTCTGGCCAGTAGCGGAGGGCATAGCGCTCGGGTGCCTCTCTCTCGGGTCCGGAGGCATAGGCATGCCTCGGACACGCCGAGTCCCTCTCTCAGAGGGTCTGGGCGCAGAGGTTGTGAAAGCCTCGAGGCGCCCGGTGAGGTGCGCGGACATTAGCAGCGAACAAAAGTTGTGCTGGCACCCGGCAGAAACAAGCGGCCGATAACGGGCAGCCCAGTCGGGACGCTCTTCTGGGCCGCTAGACTGGCCCATTGTCCGATGGTCCGCCTAGTGATGCGACGATCCGGTGCGCAGTTAGAGTCTATGGTGGCCAATGTGAGGGACCTCGGGCTGGCCTTATTGGCCGTGTAGATTACTCCGCGCCTGATCAAGCCACTGTCGATAGCAGCTCAGCCCATCGTCAGTTTGGTGCCACAGTGAATGAAGTTGTTGGAGTAGAGTTGAGATAGTAGAATAGCGGCACTGTGCGAAGGCATACTAAAACACATATCTGCGACCGGAACCTACGCCCAGCTACTGCACGAGAGCGGCTGCGAGCTCCAGCTTGATACATGCTACTGTCGTAGAGCAAGTTAGGTTTCATAGGTGAACATTCAAATGGACATGCTTCTTTCCGCTGGACTCATACGTCGTGATCCAATGCGCGTCAAGGATGCCCACGGTGTCAGGAGAGGACTGGGAGTGGATATGGGGCTTGTGCACTTTGATCGTCAGAGGGTTTTTCTCAGAGGGCCACACACCGTACCAGAAGCGTCTCGGTCAGCTCTCACCTTACGCTCGCAGAGCTCATGCGACAAACTCGACGGTAGACTCGTAAATAGCAGTACGGCTTGCCGAATATTTGCTCCCCGTACATAATCAATAATCAATAATATTGTGGATATGGTTTAATCTCATACATTATAATGATTTTTTTTTCGCCATTTCTCAAAAACTGTTTTTTTTTTTTTTTTTTTTTTTCTTTTGGTTTTCAGCCATTAGCAGCCTTTCACGTGGAGGTGGGATGCTACGGTCACCCTCACTGGGGTCCTAACATTGCCGTAAATTATAACTTATTTTAATATGAGAGTTTGTGATAAATTATTTGATATAATTTTTGTTTATAATTTATTAAGCATAAATAATTTATAAATTGAAAGAAGTTGGCTATTTAAAAGTTGAAGGAGGAATACTTTTTCTTAACTTTAAATTTTTTATTAATAATTTTTAACTTTTAATAATAACTAGGCCCATAGTCACCCAAAGTTGTCTGTCCTCTTTGGCACCGTTTTAATTTTTGGATGTTCCGTTTACTGTTTTATTTTTAGGGAGACTTATTTATAAGTAATATTTCGGACACTTATGTTATGTTAAGTTCTGTGTAATTTTTTAAAGAGTTTTAAGTCCTATTTAGATAGAAATATATTCCACAACATCCCATGAGTTGTAAATAAATGGTATTAATATACTATTATACACTATATGGGAACATAAATTTTTTAATAGGATTATATGTAGCATAAGTCGCCATAATAGGATTTATAAATAATTTTTCCTTATTTTTATTATTTTCGGAAATAAAAAATAACGAAGAATTTCAAAAAATCCCATCATTTACATTTTTGTGTGAATACAATTTAAAAAAATTTAGAAAAAAACTTTAAAAAAAATTACAAAAAAAAAAAATTCTCTAGGATTTGAACTTTATAACAAAATAAATTACGAATTTTTAATTTTGTAAATTTAAATTATAATATTTTGATTTGTTTGTCAAAAGAATAAGAATTATATGACTACTTTCAAAAACTCTTTAGTATTTCAAAACATCATTCTTATAGTCACTGTTTGTCTTCACTCTCCACCACTACCTCATATGAGATCGATGAATTCAAATTTGAGATTTGTTATCTTAGATTTGAAAATCGATAGTTCTTTCTCTCTCTCTTTTTAACTTTGTTTCTCTCTCTCTCCCTCTCTCTCTCTATTTCTCTCTTTCGTTCACTGCTTCACTTAAACCCCTGTTTTTTGTGTGATCCCTTTTTTTTATTTGTTCACAAGTGAAATCGCAAATTTTACTCTAATTCAGAGAAAAATTTTATTATGAATCAAAGTAAAATTTAGTCATTTTAACAAAAAAAAAAGGAGCTATGAGGGAGTTTTGCAAGTATTAAATTTTTTTTTTGTCCTTTTGACAAAAAACGAAAGGTCTAAGGGATTTGTAACTAAATCTCCCTTAATTTAAACCATTTATTTATTTTCATTAAACAAAACTGGTAGAAAAAATATATTTTAGTTATAAAACTTAATGAAAAAATATCGTTTAGACAATTTTTGTACATCTACATTGAGTATAATGTTTAAAATATTATTTTTTCTGTCAATTTTATTTAGTTGAAATAGATAAATGATTTAAATTAAGGGAGATGCACCAATAAATCTCAAATCTTTATCTTATGACCCATTTGGTCCTATGTTTTATCTTATGATCCAATTAGTCCCAAGCTAATGTTAATGACAAAATAACCAGTGTTACACTATGTTTTGACTGAAATGCCCAAAACTCTGTAGATGTTTGTTTTC